GGGGGGGCCGGGAGCCATCAGCATGTAGAACCTCTTTTCTTAGGAAGACGGTCTTGGTGAGAGTGACACTCAGCAGTTAAGAACACGTGCTGTTCTTGGCAGGGTCCGAGTCCAGTTCCCAACACTGTCATTGGGTCAGTGGCTCCCAACAGCCTATAGCTATACCTCCAGGGGATCGGCACACCTTCTTCTGAACTCTCGGGGCACCCATACATGCCCATGCAGCTTACACACATCAGCACCATATAGCTGAAGTACAATTAATAAAAGCTCAGAGACAGAAATTGGGGTTCAACCTAAGAGTCAGAAAAACAAAGCAGCCAGCCACTGGCTCTTATCTCTACCTCAGTCTGAAATGGTGATCCTGCCTTCAGAAATCTCAGAATGAGACTGTGTCTGAGAGCTGTCTCCTCCCGTTTTATATTCCACTCTAGTTCTGGAATTAAAGGCATGCACCACTACCACCCGGTTTCTATGGCGAGCTAGTGTGTCTACTGGGATTAAAGGTGTGTGTTGTTGCTGCCTGGTCTGTGAACTGGCCAGTGTGACTTTTACTTCTCTGGTTCTCAGGCAAGCTTTACTTATGAAAATACAAATGAAATGCCACTACATTTCCCCTTTTTGTCTATAATAAAAAAGAAAAGAAGGCTATAACTAATATAAGAAAAACTATATACAATAAGTACAATGATTATATACAATATATACAGACAATAAATATATCAATAATGTCTAGTCCATTTGCATTTGACAAATTCAGAGAAAATATTCCATATCTAGCTCAGTTGGTAGAGCATTTCAACTCTTAATCTTGGGGGTCATGGATTTAAGCCTCAATTTGGGTGCCATTATGTAAATGGAAGACTGAACTCTCATTTCGCAGCCACCCAGACCCAAATAATTACACAGAAACTGTATTAATTGCAACACTGGCCAATGGCTCAGGCATATTTCTAGCTAGCTCTTACATCTAAACCCATTTCTATTAGTTTATGTATTGCCACTGTGGCATTGCCTCATTTTCTACATATCTTGTTTCCTTGGCAGCTGGCTGGCATCTCTTTGGCTGTGCCTATTCTTTCTCTCTTTATGTGTGTGTGTATGTTTGTATATGTGTGTATATGTGTATGTGTGTATATGTGTGTCTATGTGTGTGTGTATGTATGTATGTTTGTATATGTATGTGTGTGTGTTAGGATTTCCTTCCTGACTGTACTCGGCTAAGCCATTGGCTGAAACACTTTTATTCATCAACCTGTAAAGCAGCACATACACATATACACGGAAGGACGTGTCACATCATACAGCATTCATCCCGAGGATCTCCGAGGACTTCACTTGCAGCCGTAGGTACCGTGCCACCATGTCACTCACACATTACTGAATTCCTTCCCATCAGTAGTCACCGCTACACACAGAGTGCTTGAGAACTGGCCTCCCTGTGCGACTTGGTGAGTAAAAGATAGTTACTGGGCTATTCATGTTCCTCAACAGGTGCATATGCTGGGCATCCGGGGTGGAGCAGTGCCTTACTATGAGGTCAGCTCATACACATGGGGCCATTTGGCCTCCTTAGCCTGCAGGGAAATGCCAACAGCAGTATCCAGTCTGTTCCAAGCAGAAAAGTCCCTTCCTTTCCTCTGTGCCATCAACCTTGTGTGAGGAGACGCCAGGCCTGTGGTTCCAGTGTATCTTGTCAAGGTTTGTTAGCAAACAGAAGGTGCTTCTGGGATATCAGCGTCTGAAAGAAACATTAAACCCGTGCACCGGCCTCGCCTTAGCTGTCTGTCTCTAGGAGTGTTTTCCCCAGTTCCCCCATAGATGTGCTGCTCCAGCCTCAGGAGGGGGCCTACAGGGGACAGAGTCTCTCGCAGTCTAGTGGTCCTGACACTGGAAGTCGTGGTACCCTAGGACAGCAAAGAAAGGTCTGGGCCTGCGTAGGAGGTCCACAGGCTGGGCCCTGGAGAAACCACACATAGAGGCCAGTCTGGGTTGCAGGAGTTACGGGAATTCAGTATGCCCTGGCCTGTGGCCAGGGCCCAGTAGAGAGCCCCACCACATGCGGCCATGCCTCTGTCTGTGCAGTGCTGCCTGCATGCTTACTTGTGTGTCACAGGCTCAGCGACAAGCGTTGACGTGAGTTCAGCTCTGTGGGACCCACCTTCTTCTCCCTGCCCTGCCCCCTCCCTCTGCTATAGTCATGGTGGAGAACGAGGATCTGCGAGTGCGCGTGTGTGTGCGCGCGTGTGTGGTCCTATGAACAGCAGCAACACAGGAGAAACTCTTCTATCTCTGCCCCCTGTGCCGCTCACAGAGGGCCCACGTTTTCCTCCCTCATCCCTGCGTACGCACATGAGACCGCTTCTGCTTTGCTTGTCTCATTGCTGCAACAAATGACGGAGAGAAGCAACTCAAGGGCAGAATGCTTTATTTGGCCTCCTAAGTCAAGGGTATAATTAACAGACCACCTAAAATCATCATGGCAACAAAGTCCTGGCTGCTACTACAGCTCCCTTCCTCCTTTTCATCCAGCCCAGGAAACCAGCCCACACAGTGGAGCTGCCTATAGTTAGAGTGGGTCTTCTCAGCTCGGTTAACCTAGTCTGGAAACTCCCTCACAAACATGCCTAGAGCTTCATCCCCACGGTGCTTGTGAAACTCCTCGAGCAGACAAGATTAACCATCATGGTAGCCCTTCAGGGACCAGGCTCCCGCCCACAGACCTTGCTGAGAGTGTGCCCTGCGGGAATGATGCCCACAGACAGGGCACCACCAGATGCCTTCATGAGCCCTCTCTGGGCTTTCCACACTCCACCTGAAATCCAAAGCCCCTGGGCCTCTCCCGCTTGTGTTTAGCTAGTCCTGTAATACCCACACTGCAGCTGTGTGTATGATTCTCTGCACAGCGCCGGCACATGCTGTGTGCCCACAGATGCTATCGAGTGATTAGCTGCTGCAGGTCTTACTGTTGGACTGGAGCTGTGGTCCTAACGAGGAATCCATGGACAGCCAACTCTGGGTACTTCTAGAACACCTAGCAGCGCTCTGGTCCCAGTGAGCTCTGCCTATGGCTGTCCCATCCAATGTTGCCCAAGTATCCAGTCTGGGCTTCTATGGGGACCACAGAGACTTCATCCATGATAGGTGGGGTGGTTTTAGGTGGTCTGTTAATTGTCGAAATGGTGAGAAAATTGATCCTTTCTCAGTTGTTTCTTCTGCATGGTGGCCTTGAAGGTCTCAGTTCGATACTAGCAGTGAGCCCCGAATCCCAGCTGACTGACCCAACAAGAGACTTTTTTTAACCTTGTTGGTTTTTCTCTGTTAAACCATGCTGTGTAACTGCGAGAGTTTGGATGGTTGCCCTGGAAACCTCAGTTTGGCAAGTGTTCTCTAATGCCATGGGCACAGAAAGGCAGAGGTCAGGATTTGAGCCACTCCCCGCTCCAGCTCTGTGCAGAGGCATTCTGGAGAGAAGGGGACACAAAGTTAGAGGCAGGGGACTCATTTCTCTTTCCTCTGTCCCAGCTTCCTCACCCCTACAATAGGGATCAGGAGGATGGTTCAATCACTTACGCCAGCAGTGACTACTGTGGGGGCTGTGGAGTAGCAGCCGTGATTGGTGCTCAGTGTCCATGGGGATCGGCTCCAGGACCCCCACAGATTCCCAAATCCTCTGATGTTCACGTCCATTCTATAAAATGGCAAAACATTTGCATAGAACCTGTCACATCCCTCTACATGCTGTGTGTCATCTCCGGATTATTTAAGACACCTAATACAATGTAAAGGCTATGGAAACTGTTGTCAAACTGTATTGTTTAGGGGATAATGACAACAAAATGCAAATACAGAACAGTTGCAACCACCGAATACTTTTAAACTATTTTATTTATTACTATTACTGTGTGCATATGTGTATGATGTGTATGAGTGCAGGTGCACATGTGTCGTGGCCAGTGTGGAAGGGTCAGAAGACAACTTTCGGGAGTAGGTTCTTCTAAGTGAATTCCCAGGATCTAATTAGGGTTATTAGCATGTTTTTTTTTTTTTACCACTGAGCAATAATAATAATAACAACAACAAAAATAATACAAGGTTTTGCTGTGTAGCTCAGGCTCCCTGGTTCCAGCATTACAGGCATGTGACCCCACCCTAGGCCTCCATTTGCTTCGGATCTGAGGTTGGAAGGGCCCGAAGCTACCAAGGGCTGACAGCACACTGCCCCATGCTGCAGCGCCGCCCTGCTCTCCCCAGTAGTAACAGCCATGTTCCCCTTGCAGGTTAACTGTCGGGAGCGATGGGCGACTGGAGCTTCTTGGGGCGGCTGCTGGAGAATGCGCAGGAGCACTCCACAGTCATCGGCAAGGTGTGGCTGACTGTGCTGTTCATCTTCCGCATCCTGGTGCTGGGGGCGGCGGCCGAGGAGGTGTGGGGAGACGAGCAGTCGGACTTCACTTGCAACACGCAACAACCCGGGTGCGAGAACGTCTGCTACGACCGCGCTTTCCCCATCTCGCACATCCGCTTCTGGGCGCTGCAGATCATCTTCGTGTCCACGCCCACCCTCATCTACCTGGGCCACGTGCTGCACATCGTGCGCATGGAGGAGAAGAAGAGAGAGCGGGAGGAAGAGATGCTGAGGAGAGACAACCCCCAGCATGGCCGTGGCCGCGAGCCGATGCGTACAGTGAGTCCGCAGGACCCGCCACTGCGAGATGACCGTGGCAAGGTGCGCATTGCTGGCGCGCTGCTGCGGACCTACGTCTTCAACATCATCTTCAAGACGCTCTTCGAAGTGGGCTTCATCGCGGGCCAGTACTTTCTCTATGGCTTCCAGCTGCAGCCACTTTACCGCTGTGACCGCTGGCCCTGTCCCAACACGGTAGACTGCTTCATCTCTAGGCCTACAGAGAAGACCATCTTCGTCATCTTCATGCTCGCTGTGGCCTGTGCGTCACTGGCGCTCAACATGCTGGAGATTTACCACCTGGGCTGGAAGAAGCTCAAGCAGGGGGTTACCAACCACTTCAGCCCCGATGCCTCAGAAGCCAGACACAAGCCCTTGGACCCCCTACCTCACACCTCCAGCTCTGGCCCTCCCAGCGCCTCCATTGGGTTCCCACCTCTCTACACACACCCTGCCTGTCCCCCGGTGCAGGCCACGGCCACGGGGTTTCCTGAGGCCCCACCACCACCAGCAGACTTCACAGTGGTAACCCTGAACGATGCGCAAGGCAGAGGCCACTCTGTCAAGCACTGCAATGGCCTCCATCTAACCACAGAGCAGAACTGGGCCAACAGAGTGGCGGAGCAGCAGACCTCCGCTAGCAAGGCCTCTTCGGTAGCATCCAGCCCCGAGGGCCGTAAGGCAATCAGGGACAGCAGTGGCAGCAGCCTGGAAGAGAGTGCCTTGGTGGTCATGCCAGAGGAGGGAGAGCAGGCCTTGGCCACCACAGTGGAGATGCACTCCCCGCCCTTGGTCCTCCTGGATCCAGGAAGGTCCAGCAAGGCCAGCAGTGGGCGGGCCAGACCTGGTGACTTGGCCATCTAGCCATAGTTTCCCCAGACAGCTTGATAGGCCTTCCCTTTCCCCCTTAGAAACCCCAAACCAAAATGCCTTTCAAATCACCAGGTAGAAAGAGAGAGAGCCTGACAGCGCTGGCATCCCCAGAAACACTGAACCAACCCGGTCAGGTGTCTGATTTAATGCTTGCTGTTCTAGTCGCTGTGGGGTATGGTGGGGATCACACCAGCGCTCTGAGATGGAGAGGGGGCGGGGTTGTTGGCTTTTCAAGATGCTCCCAGCAGCGGTTGCTCCTGGACTCCTCCACCGGCAGTTACTATTCTGCAGCAATAAAGCAACAGGTGTTTGCAGTCCTTCAGCGGGAGACAATTGGGTTTCCATTCCTAAGCTCTCCAAAGAGCCCTGAGGCACAGAGACACTTAGCTCTATCTCTGTGTGATACTTTTAACTTAGAGTTGAATTTCATTTGGGATATTTGCCAAACTGTACTAAAAAAAGATTTAGAGGGACTCTGTCTAGTGTCACTTGAGTTTCTGGAATCGCATATGAAGTCCAGGCTGTCCAACTGCAGGCTGCTTCCCCCTAGAGAGGGGCTCTATGGGACAGGGCCGCAGACGTCAGCCACTGGTTGAGGCAGGTGGAGATGCAGAGAGAAGAGGAAAATGATGACAGTGTGGCAGGTATGCTGTAGGTATTATTTATTCTTTGATGACATTTTGTGCTTAGCCTGAATGGTAAAAAAAAAAAAATTATAATTGCACCCTCACACACACACACACACACATTTTATCTTTCATTAAAAACCATAGCACTGTTAAAATGACTACTGACCAGGAAGCTGTTTCGTTAGCTGAGATCTTGGACTTTCCTTTGGAACAAATTCACCTCCCTTGCCAGCCGACTAATCACGGGGAGGGTGTCTAGACCATAAGCTGATCACTGTGAGCATGTACGCTAGGTCAAACTTGGAGGATTTGCGTGCATTTTAAATACTTGAAGTTTTAACATTTCTGGAAGGGAGGTTCAGTACTATAACCAGGAAAAAGTATTTGTACAGATGAATCACTGATGACCTACACTTAAAAAGAAAAATACAAAATAAAACACTTCAAGTTCCCTAACCGTTTATTTATTTATTTATTGTGCCTGTTTGCTTTCTAAAATGTAAATAAAATTGTCTTGATTTTACTGCGTGTGTAAGGGTGTGTGGCTGATTGTGGCGTGTCCACACCTCTGTTTTCCACCCACTTAAGTGCTGTCCTACAGGGAGGCTATTTATAGACATGGCTGGGTGGGAAGAGGGCAAATCCTCTCTGCGGTACTCACTGCAGTAGAGCCTCCGTCATGGTCACCATTTGTCATAAGCTAATGAATAATGGTCATGCTGGCCTGTCCCCCACCCCACTGGCTTCCACTTTGAGTAGTTCATCCTTATTCAGCAAACCTCCATTTTCCCATCTCGTTCATTTTTATAAGTTAATCTAATGATTAGTTTGGGATCATACCCCACATGCTTTCTGTCTCCTATATTAAAGGGGTGGGAAGTAACTGAGGAAGATACCCCACACATGTGCACACTTACATGCCCATGCTCAAACACACGAACACGGACAACTGAACTCTGTTCACAGTGTGCTCACAAAAATGCCAATATTATTTGATTAGGCATGATCTAGCATAGACATAACCTACAGTGTGCAGGCCATGAGAAGAAGGAAAGCTTGTCTTACATGGTGTTACTCTTTGAAGTACGATATCCTGGAGGCAGGGCTTCCTTTCCCCTGTGGCTATATGAAATCACTCTGTATTTATGCAATAAAAATAGGCAAGAGTCCACACAGATGTTTTCTGACCATTTCATGAAATCGAGATTTTGCTAACACTTTTCCTCTTTATTTAATAGGAAAAATTCATGCCTAAGCTTCTTAAAGTGCGTATGTGTTGGGGAAGGCTGCTTGTTCGTTTCCCGGGCACCCAGACTCCTGAAATAATCACACAGAAACTATATTATTTAAGTCATTGCTTGGTCAATTATTTTAGCATATTGCTAGCAAGCTCATATCTTTGGTTAACCTATTTCTATTATTTTATATTTTATTATGAGGCTTGTGGCCTACTGGCAAAGTTCCAACTGGCAGCTCACATCTTTCCCCTCTGGCAGCTCCATGGTATCTCCTCTACTCTGCCTACTCTCTCTCTCTCTCTCTCTCTCTCTCTCTCTCTATATCCTGGCTATATCTCTCTCCATCCTGGCTATATTCTGTTAAGACATTGGCTGGAAGCACCTTTTTTATTCATTAACCAATAAAAGCAACACATACGCAGAAGGGCTTCCTACACCATTTTCCCTTTTCTGTTTAAATAAAAACGTGGTTTTTTTTACCTTTTTTTTTTTTTTTTTTTTTTTTTTTTTTTTTTTTTTTTTTTT